GGGGGCGGGGCGGGCCGCCCTCAGGTGGGTCGGCCCCGAGCGGGGAGGGGGCTGCAAGGCGGCAGATGGGGGCGAGGCCCGCCGCCCGGAAAGCAGCAGCCCCTTGGGTTGGAAAGGGCCTCAAAGGTTCTCTGGTTCCAACCCCCCTGCCATGGGCAGGGACACCTCCCACCAGAGCAGGTAGCTCAAAGCCCCATCCAGCCTGGCCTTGAACACCTCCAGGGATGGGGCATCCACAGCTTCTCTGGGCACCTGTCCCAGTGACGGCTTCAGGGAGAAACCCCTTGCGGAAACGGCTCCGCCAAACGGCCGGTGGAACTCGAGGTGAAGCCAAAGGGTTCAGCGCGGGCGGCGGCTGCCGGGAAACCCGCCCTGCGGCTCGGCCTTCGAGACAGGCGGGCTGCGCTTCGCACCTCAGCACAGGCCGCGGCTGTAATTAGTGTCGGTAATTAGGGTTAACACAGGGGAAAAAAAGAGGGTTAAAGCGCCGGGTTCCCTTCTCCTACCCCAGCGACACCCCCGCCGCCTCCCCTAGGTGGGGTGCCTATCCCAGGCGTGACTCCTCGCCCTGCCCCCGCACGTCCCCTCACCGACCGGGAGGTTTCACCGGGAATATTTTTATCCGCCCTCCAGCGGCCTCTGCCCCCGGCCGCTCCCCTCAGCCTCCCGCCTCTGCCGCCCCCGCCGTTAGTCCCGCCCCTTGGGCCACCTAGCCACGCCCCCTCCGGCGTTAGACACGCCCCGTCTACCGCCCCCTGGCGGTTAGTCGCCGCCACCGTCGCTTGTGGTGAGGTCGCCCCTTCAGCTCCAGGCCCCCTCAGCCCCGGGTCCCCTCAGGGTGCCCCGGTCACCGGGCTCGGCCAGGCGTGGCCTCTGCTGCCCTCGAGATAACCAGCTCCGCGGTTTCTGGCCGTACTGTCCCCGCAACTGCCTGCTGTGGCGCCGGGCTGGGCCTGGAGTGATTGCTGAGGAGGACTTGAGGTGTGTGAGGTGAGGAGGGAAGGTCGGGAGAGCGAGGCGATGGCACCGTTAGTATGCCGATGGAATTAGGTCAGTAAGCCACTGAGGAGGTGGTATGCCAGCTGCCGTTGAAGCAGCGCAGTGTGAAGGCCCCAGTGGCACCATGGCTCCTGGCATGAGTGTTGCCCACACTCAAGTTGCTGGTGACACGTGTCCTCAGCGCTGAATGAGCTGGCGTCACACCCTCCTCTGCCGAGGTGTTTTTACAGCCAGGAAACACAGGGACAAGGGTCACTCAGCATGATGCGAGAGATGTATGTGTGGTTACACAGGTAAGGCAAATATTTTTGGAACAAGACTTCTGGTTTTGACATCCAAATACCTGTCATCGGTGTACCTGTCGTCGGCTGTTGTGTTTCCTTCCTGTCTGCGGGCTGCTGTGCAGTACAGTGCTCCAAATCCACCTGCCGACGTGCTCCCTCAAGCCCTACAGTGAAAGCTGGCGTCTGGTGTAACGGGATTGCCTGCTGCCCTCTGAAGCACAGCTGATGGGACAGTCACCAGCACTAAGTTCACAGCATGTTTTTCCAGGCAAGTCAAGGAAATGTTGCGTAAGATTTTCTTGAACTGTGGGTTCAAACTTTGAAATTGATATGGGGAGTAGCTTTTCTGGATTTTTTTTGGCTGCAAGGCTGAGGGACAGGCCATGTCTGTAGTTCTGCAGGTGTTCTGTAGTTAATCAATGTGCTACATGTGATCAGTTGTGAAAAAAGTAAATTAAGACAACATCTGTGAATTTTGATTCCGATTTAGGAGTACAGAGAAGAATCTAAGTGCCCATCCTCAAGATAAAGATTCTTTTTGATTTAAAATATGTTTCTTTGAATTCATGTTTGAATAAACAAAAAGTGTTCCTAACCTCAGAAATCTGATCTTGCACAGGCTGAGTCTAAGAAAGTAGAACTGTCTGCCAAATACCAAATTTTAATATAAAAAATAAAATACACAACTTCTGCACTGATTTTAGTCTTCAGCAGGAATTTCTCTGGATGTAAATTTGCTGCCTGATCTGTATTTGTAGCATTTGTCACTACATCCCTTTTTACCCCTTGCTGGAGTTACCTGTAGGTCACAGACATCATGATGCCTATGAAGCCATCCACAGCTAAAGGAGGCCCAGTCACTGTCCTGTCAGTCCGGGGAACAGACAGCGATGATGTCCCAGTGAGATGTCACTCTAGTGCAAAGGCCAGGGAAAACTTGGAGGTTGCTACCCCTGGAGTGCGACAAGATGTTGCGCTTGAGTTCAAGGACAGCTTTATCAGTGAAGGGGCACCCTGTGTGTATCAGCTGAGTGGGCCATTGAGACACCGGTGTGTGTTAAGAGGGATGTAGGAGAAGTGGTAGTTTTTAATACATGTATTCTGCTCTTCTAATTAGCAGCTGCCATGCATTTGAGAAGCTTGTGCTTGTCATCGTTTGTGATATTTAGGGATGTAGTTCATATTGGGAAAGCAATGTACTTGTGTCATTAGAAGAGGGAGTTTTATGGTAGCATCTATGTTTAGGATCTGTAAGCAAATCCGTGCCTAGAGACAGCTCATGGAAAACTAGAAGAAGTGTTTATTAATTGTGATTTACAGTTGGCTTAGGAAAGCAGTAACTGGTAAACCAGAGGTTTCTGGAGAAATTGCCATTGTTTGCTTTTTGGTTGGTTTTTTTGTACTACAAATATGCTGAAAATGTTGTACCAATTTTCTGGCTTTTGGGAACTGAGCCCAGGATAGGCCCAGGACTACAGTTATAAATGTCTGTGGAGGAGAACTGTGTACACAACATAAACCCAGTACATTTGTTAGAAAACTTTATTTATTCTATTGCCAATAGTATATTACAATTCTGCATTAGCTCTACGGCCAAACCCAGATGAACTACTACAGATGCTCTTAAACCCTTGAAATCGCATGAGACGTATGCAAAGCAGGATAATGGAGTTGCTGCAATGTGTAGTATGTTGTGTTTTCTGTCTTAGTATAAACACAAGTAGTTATTGCAATGTTTTCTTATTAAAATGTCTGATAATTTGAGGAGCCCCTTGCTGTGCTGACAAAACAGTCACCCCAGGGCAGCTGGTATCCACAGCAGTTCTGGTCTCAAAATTAGTTTTGGTGCCCTTGCTAATCTCAATGAAAAAGACCAATCAAGTTAACTTTAAACGGTGTTTGTCCATTGACCTTGGCCAAACAATTAACTTTAGCAGCAGCCTGGAATGGACTAAGTGCTTGTTCCTCTGTGTGTATGGGGTTTTTGGGTCATTCACTGGAATTGCTTAAGTATCATTTATTGGAAATGATCTGGTTTGTGCTGCTTTTCTGAGAACCATTTTAGATATTGGTAGATGAAGAACAAATTCTTCCCTGAGGTGTTTCTTTTTCACAAATACATTCCACATCAATCTATCTTAGCTGT